AAAGAAAGAAGGAAGGCAAGAAGAAAGAACTAAGTATATAAGCATGAAAGAAATGCGGAGCGAGACTGAGAAGAAGAGAGACAGTTGTACAACGTCGTACATAACCTACAGGGGTCTGCAGGGGGCCTACATGCAACTTCTACACTGGACGAAAAAGCGGCTTCATAAGAAAGAGAGATGTTGTTTTTGGCTTGTGTGTAGACATTCAGCACGCAATGAAGCGCAAGGTCGTGTGCAATGGCCAAGTGTCCTCACACAAAAGCGGCCACCGGCGTCGGCATTATGGCCGGCGAAGGTGCGGCTGATTAAAGCTGAATTGGGGTAAGTTTAAGAACCGCTGAATGAGAGACGAACTCTTCGGTTTGCAGGTCTAGCGAGACCTTTGACGTCTCCCCAGACTGCATCGGCAGCAGCAAGTTGGTACCCTTGCGGAAGATTACCTTCAGGGTGTGCAAGGGTGTCTGGCCGGGCGGGGGTTGGGAGGTTTGCCTGCCGCTGAGGTCCTCAAAGGCGGCGGCAAGTGCGGAGGCGGGGAACCACTCGATTGGCAACCTAGGTCCTAGGTGCAAACATTGTCAGAGCTATATGATACACCTGCATTCGTACAGCATGAAAGTGCCGGTTACAATGCAGAACAGTATGGTCTTGTGTCGTGTGTGTGTGTACCTCAGCATGCGGAATCTCGATCCTTTATGCTCTGCAGAGAATTTCATTGCTTGGGCGTGAGCGTTGGAAGGACCTGCTGGGTGCACGTTGGGGCGTGCGCGAGCGCACACGTGTGCGCAGGTAGGGGCTGTTGTTGTTGTTGCTGCTGCTGCTGCTGTCCCGTCCGGTCCCGTCCCGTCGTGTTCTGTCTTTGTGGTAGGTTGGGCGTCTGGGCGTGTGTACATGCGGGGAAGTGTGCATGTGTGTGTGTGTGTGTGTGTCAGGACCCAATCTGCCGATACAACTTTCCTTTTCATAGTTCTCTTCAATGTCAACACCAGTTTGCAACATCAGAGGTATTCAGGAGCATGATGTACTTCAGTGAACGCAGTAGGCTTAGCCTGTCTAAGCTGATGTGGCTTGCAGATCAGAGGTACCAGTATTGGCTGTCAAGAAGGTTACCTCACACTGTGTGTGTGTGTGTGTGTGTGTGTGTGTGTGTGTGTGTGTGTGTGTGTGTGTGTGGGTGTGTGTGTGTGTGTGACACGACGGCGGTGGTTTGTCATTGTTGCAATGGGTGAGGACCTTGCCCAACAATGGCAGGATAATTGAATCTTCACAAGAGTATGCAGGCAAAATGCTCAGGAATAACCTGAAATTGCGGAGTGCGCAACTCTCAGAATTCTCACGTTGGGCTCGACTTCCAGGCTGCAAGATCGATGGCGCCAAGTTAAAGGTCAGCCCGCACCTCACGCTTCCCATCCTTGCCAGAAGCCTAGACTGCAGTCCTCGATACGGATGCCTGTATGAGCTACCGTCGAACCTTGTCAACAACGAGCAAAGAACAAGCGTGGCGTGGGATTCCTGAAGGTTCTTCATAGTTCTCAGCAATTCTCAGAAGAGTTTGACAGACTGAGCCTGCCGTTAAAGGGTTCCTAGCAGCTCTTAGTAGAGTTTTGACTGCAGCTCGCGTCAGCCGAGTTCTTGCTACTTCGAACCATCGCACACTTGGAGACTAATGAGTTCGATCAGTGTATTTGTCAAAGTTTGCCGGTGAGCAGAAGTTCTCCGTTGTTTCGATACAGAGATACTTTATCCGTTCAGAGGGCGTGCTGCCGAATCTGCAGTAGCTCGGGGTGCCTCCTGGCCCCCGTGAATCCAGCGTTCCCCCGGAGTCCGACAAACTCTTCATGCAAGAGCTGTGCCGTCCACACATTTCCTAACAGCTCTGGCCTAGCATTGACATGAGAAGAGCATAGAAGAGATACGGAAACATGGGCGCTTGATGGCGCTTGCGGGTGAGTCCCCTGTTGCCAAGACCTCGCTGCCGGCCAAGAAGCTTGTGGCATGGTTTAAGAGCGAGGACGCAGGCGGGGTGGACATCAGGCAGGAAGGTCTCAGGTTCTTGGGACAACTTCAAATTGCAGATGTCAGAGATCAGTGTGCGGCGCACGGGCGTGGCCGACTTCCCAGCTGACCAGGACCGAAGCCCCCATAAGCAGTCCATGTCCGTAATGGCTCCAAAAACGGTCATGCTTCTGTGGCTGGGCGGGCAAGACAGGGCATAAAGGAGGCGGCTTGTTCTTGTCCCATTCCCAAATGTGTTCTAGACCTGAGGCCTCGGAGGTTTCTGGGAACATCTCCGTGTGACGAATGCATTCCGTCGTCTACTGCTGGCTCTACAACGATGGGCCAATTATGGGGCAGCTTCATAGCGCCTAACACAGCCGAATCTATGGAAGCCCTTTTTCGAACCCCAGAACTGGAACTCCTTCTCAGGGCCCAACTGGCGGAGCAGTGTCCTGGCTGTGAATCGGTTTAGTCTTGGCCCAGCCTAGCACGGTTTCGAAGACTCCCATGACAAGAAGTTTCATTCCCAGACTCAGACGTGGACATGTGTCAGTCTTTCGGGATCTGGGAACTTGAGCCCCAGATGCCAAGAGCTCAGGGCCGTAATCGAAGACCAAAGTTTGCAAATTTTGGAAGTTCGGAAACCGGAATCTTCGAGGCATTGGGAAGTTCAGCGCGTCGGCTGGGCGGAACTCTGGAGCAGCCTGGCTTGCCATGGAAGACGCCAAACCCCAACGCTATGCAGGGCTTTTGGGATACGGTCATGCTCACCTGAAGCAACCTCTTGGTACCACAGAAAGCCGCTGATTTAAACTCTGATCCCAACACCAATCTGATGTGACCCTTAGGTTGCGAGGCGTGTGTTTAATACTGTTCAGACTTTGCAGGTCTTCTCCTACACCTCCAGGGGCTACGGTGCCAAAGCCCGGGTGCGATACATTCAAGGCGCAGCGACAGGGCAACAACACAAAAACACGATTGGATATGTTTTTGGAATTTGCTTTTTTGCAGACCTTAAGCATTTGGCTCGGACACAAAGCACTTGTATCACATAACATGACCTGAGACCGGAGCTTAGCAGTGTCGCAAAGCTGAGATCACGTTGCACAAGTCCAACATTCAGATTCAGATGGTTAGTAGGGTTCGTGACGTTCTGCTGGCTTTTGCCATCGCTCTAGGTCCTGGACCTCTGCACCCTGAACAGTCAACCCGCAGCCGAAATATGACGCGACGAAGCCTTGCTTTTCGCGTTGCAATACAACCCATCGCATCCACGAGGCCTGAGACGTAGACCCAGACCTTGTTGCAGAGTTGCACTCCGGCGAGAGGCTCCATCAAGGACACCTTCCAGTTTTCCGATGTGCTGCAGGATCGCTACACAGTGTCTTGACCGCACCGTGGGTTTGGGGGCCTGGATCAAGCATGAACTGACGATCACGTCCCACGACACATCCCAGACATGCAGTCAGTATGTGCGGCAGCATGCATGTGCCAGTGGATTGTCGTCATGGCTGTGAGTCTTGACGACTCGGTGTTTCAATGCAGACTGGTCCAGCCGACTTGCAGATTCAAGCCGGCCATGTTAATGTTGCGGCTACTAGTAGTGCTCAAAACAGATCCGACGAGTCATATTTCAGAGAGTTCCTTACAATAGGGGGGGGGGGGGGGGGGCGCCCACAAACAGCAGCCGCGAGCAATGAAGAAGTTTCTTTGCTTTTCTTTCCGCGCAGGTATGCTCAGTTTCTCGCTACGCATCCACGGAAGCGCTCGGCAGGATCTTGCAAGGAGTGCCCACCTGCACGAAGATGCAGATTACCACAACCATCTCAAGTAAGCAAAATGGTCTTGTTGGCATCAGTCAGCAAACTCTGTATCGAGTAGTTCGGCTAGAAGGATGCTGCGACTATAAGGACCAAAATCCCAGATTTGGTAGGTGTTCCCCCGATTTCTTTGACTTCAAAATTCAGCCTCCCATTCAGATAATGCGAGCCTTCTGCGGAGGCAGCGCGTCCAATATCGCCTTAGGGCACCACGCTGGCGATGCAGGCGTGGTTTTCTTTGACGGCCTGGGCCTCGACGCCCCTCAAAGCTCTCCAAAACACCAAACATGCAAGACAGAAGAGCGTGAGGAGCGTCCGCCAAGCGCTGCAAGACACTGAGGCACCTGGCAAACAAAGAAGACCGGGCAACGCATGAGCACCAAGCCCAGAGCCCGGAGCCAGATGGGTTGCCGGGTGCGAGTGGAGTCTTCGAGTCTTCAACCATGTCAAACTGTCAAACCATCTTCAACCTGGCTTAGCCGCTTTGCCAGTCACAATGACCTGAACAACATTGAACAGCAGCTGGAACACAAGTAGTGCCTCCCCTTTGGGGCCCCAACTCAGACACGGAGATACGTTTAAGCGTGTTCGGGTTTCTTTCCTGCTGTCACCAACTAGAACACAATCAGAGGAACCCTGCGGTTCACGGCCTTTGCAGGTGGTTCTTGCAAAACTGGGGGCTGTTCAAGGAACACGGACGTGAAGAGGCACCAATAGTTCGTGGACTCGTGGAGCTTCATCTAAGAATGTAAACCAAAGACCGCAGGCATAAAGTGGCACATTTTGCTTCTTTCACTGCTCAGGTGGACCACGATCTGCGCGTCCCCAGGTGCTCCCTACGTCTTCGTGGACGGCGGGGAGGGATTTGTTCGATGTGACCAACATCAGATCTTCTTTGCATTGCACGGTTCCTAGGGGTTTGGCCTGAAGTTAGGTGTTACAGTTTCACAACCAACACACGGTACAGGTGACGTCGTACTCGCCGTAACATTCTCAACTCCTTTCCCTTCGTGCTGCCCGCAGGGATCAATGTTGGGACGGCGAGCTCAGACAGCCACTGACCAGAATTGTACTCTCAGCTCCAAAGGTATCCAGGATGTGGTGGAGGGAAGGGGGGATGCCGTTATCGGCACCGCGAAGGCAGAAAGGCTGAAATGCACAGGAGTCAGTGAGGTTTAGGATGTATAACCCTCAAAGTAGACTTTCCTGTCTCAGCTTGTTTGGGCCTCTCCGCAGTCAAGAAAATGTAGTCAAGCGTTCAGGGCTATCGGGCAATGTCAGGCTTCACAGATCAGAGCATCGTGATCAACAGTGGCTTCGTGGCGGATCAGGTGTCGAACTGGGCAGTCACCTGGCGGAAGGGTACTGGGCCCAATTCCTCTTTATGTTGAGATATGCTGATATGCTCGGACAGAGTGTCTTGCTAGGCAGATTGTGCCCAGGTCATGGAGGTGATGACATGGAACTATGTCCTGACCGAGCACCTGCACTTAATGAGTGTTGATTTGTAGGGCTTTTTGGAGATGGAGGGGTCCGAGGTGTGGCTCGAATGCAGAATGTTTTATTTTTGCACATGCAGAAATTGGACTTCTTTCTTTTGTGTGGCAACTCGTCTCTTTTTGTATCGTTCCTTGAGCTGCGCATTGCTGATCGCCACCGACTTTAGGAGAGGATGTGCTTCGCTTGACAGGCTTCTGAGACATTGGGGTTGAATTTCACACAAGCAGGGTGCTTCCCACAAGACCTTCTGTATCCGCTGAGTGGCGCTGAGGAAGCAAATGGAAGATGCTTCCACGTGCTTTGGCCCAGATCCTGACTTCTAGGCAGCTTACGTCTTCAAGTCAGATGGGATATTCTCTAAACTCAAACACTAGGCTAGTACTCAGGTCCTAGAGGTATGAACCAGGGAGGGACAGCCGAGGGTGTAGAATCCAGGCCCCAAGGGCCCAACACGTGATTGACCAGTCGCTGCCCGCAAATTCAGGGCTCACTTCTAAATTCCCCCCTTGTTTGCAACTGACAAGAACAAACCAAAACTTCAGGTCATAGTGTATATATATATAGAAATACATACACAATATGAATGTCCACATTTGTGCTAATATTAATATGAATACAAATGTTAACACTAGAAAATACGTATGTATCTATACATATATATATATATATGTGTGTGTGTGTGTGCGCGTGTGTATACTTTTTACACATGTATCCCACGGTCAGCGCCATAGGCTCTGTGTCTGTTTGTTTCCACACATCTCTCACAAGCAGTGTTTTTGCTGGTCTTTTGGCGCCGCTCTAACTGATTTGTTGCTTTGTTTTTGGACTTGTCGAGACAGTATGTAGAATCGTGCAGAGAAAGGCGAGGCAGTGCAAATCATCTCCAATCATCTCTAAGCACGCTGCGAAAATGGTCTTGCGCAAGTAGATGGTTTTAAAGCCCATAGCTATGCGAAGCGTCAGGTCATTCACATCTTGTCTTATCCCGAGAATGAAGGCAACACCGTAAAACGCTGAGGTGTCCGCACGGGCTTAGGAAGCCCTACAAAGCTAAGCTCCTGGCATTTTCCGCCTGAAGACTTGAAAATGCGACTTTCCGCCGGGAGATGCGACGATGAGGATTGCCGGATGAAACCGCTGAACCTTTCCTGGCTGCATGATTGCGGGACAGAGAAATCCAGCGTATGCATGGCATCAACGAAATCGGCGCCAGGCGTCCGTAAGATACCACAGCGTCAGCGGCGTCAACAGAAAGCACGGCACCCTTGGGCGTCGAAAACGTCACCTTCGTTTCGCAACCCTCAGTCAGTCCGGGTGATAAACTGAATGAGTAGGCAACATCCATGGCTGGTCGGCGAGGCGTAGCTTTGCGATGCAAATGTATCATGCACCAGTGAACAGGCACAGTGGCATCCCATCCCCATGTCGCTGTGCAAACGTCGCGCCTTTGTTTCCGGGTTGGCACACAGCCGCCTCACTGGAGGACTGTTTTCAACCAGAAGCACAGCCTACTTCGGAGCCTACTGAAATGCGCAAAGTACAACTTGCTTATTTCAGCGTACGAACAGGAACAAAGTCTTGCTGAAATGAAGATGTTCATCTAGCTCATGCGGCCGACCACGAGTAGCCGCCTAGTAGAGGTGGTGGTGCAGAGAGATACCATTGGAATCACATCATCCTTTCGGTTCAGCTGTTCAGTGTTTCGAGAGTTGTCATTTCAGTTGCCAAAGGGAGCCATGCCTTCAGAATCCCCCAGACTTGGAACACTTACTGATACCATCCCTCCCCCCCTCCACCCCCCCCCCCCCCCAAGAATATCAAACGAATCCCCCTCCATGTCAGTTTTTGATTGAAGGCGTGAGGCTAGGGCGTGAGGCCAGGCTCAGTGTTCAGGAGATCCCCGTCCGTTCGTTTCAGGTACTTGATGAAGAAACTGATGGTGGGTGCTGCAGAGGACAGCTGCAGCCTGGTAAGACTGCCTGGACAGGTGCAATTGTGGTTCCATGATATGTTGCAAGGGCACCTGAGTGAGCCTTTTTTTCCTGGACATCAACTTGAAGTCGATGCAAGGTGTTGTCAAGTGGGAGGTGCATTGAAAACTCATTGAAACCTCGCCATTTCTCAAATTTGTCGTTGTTCTGCTCGCGCTCGCATGCGGCGTTGGTTGTGTGACAGTGTAGCTGCTGAAGCTGCTGCTTGTGCTCCTGTCAGACCTGTTGACAGGCACAGTTCCAAGAAACTGAGCACTTGTGCTGAAACAAAATGTGCAACAGCATGTGTAAGGTCTCTTACACTCATTACACTGACTTTTGTTGCCCATACAGAGACATGCAGCTTCGTTTTGCACCGAGGCCGCGTAGTCCTGCGAAACCCGAGTTGGTGGGACGGCAGAAGCTGGAGCTCTTCGAGAAAGAGAGCTCTGTCGGCAGTTTAGAGCTTTCCGCTTTCAGGCTCATATCTATGCTTCAATCCTTAACTAATCTTGGGCAGATGGATTGAATATGTGAGGGAGGGGACATGGCAATCGTTGACATGCCGTAGGAGCCACAGCAACACAGTTGCATCTGAGGATTCAAGATGAAGATTCGCAAAGTAATCAAGAAGCAACTCGACGCAGCCACTCGCGGCTACTTGCTCGGATTACGTGCTGGGGCTCTTTCGGCTTAGTTCTGTGCCAGCGGGATGGATTTCATTCTGCAGGTTTGGGTAGTTGAGGGTTGCGAGGGGGGGGGGGGGGGGGGGGGGGGGGCTGCAGGGTAACCTTAATATCAGGCGTCCTGCGTCCGGTCCAGTTTTATTCCAGAAAGCACCTGGCCTCTTCCCTCCAAAGTTTGAGCCCCACTTTGCACAGTTCGGACAGTGTTGTGCAGACCGCCGGCGGACACGATCGCACAAGGCATGCGCACACACACACACACAGGACACACACTCAAACAAACAGAGAGCCTGCTGTGGCCGTGTCCCAGCTTTGAGCTTTGTTCAGCCTAACCAACATGTGCCTTGAAGGAGGGAAGAGGGAAGATTAGGAGGGAAGCGTGAAGGAAAAATGGAAGGAAAGAGGGGAAGGGAAAGGGAAGGGAAGGGAGGGAAGGGAAAGGAAGCGAGAGCGAGGTTTTCTGTGAACAGTTTTGCATGCAAGCATCAAGACGCAGGATTGATGTTTCGGCCCAGGCCCAAGAAAAGACTCGCAACTGGACTCTCCATCTGGCTGGTGCGCCCAGACGTGGCTCAGCTTGAGCTGCTTTGTCCCTTGACCTTTAAGGCTCTGAATTCTACGCCCAAAAGACCTGAGCCCTTGAACTTCTCCAAACAGTTCCAAAGTGGGATTCCTCTTACAGAGGCTAGGTGACTGTAGCAGCCGACTTGTGGCAGGTCTCGGGTAACTGTAGTAGAGGCGAAAAGCGCTGAGAAAACCTCAGCCCTAAACGCATTGCCAGGTGGAACAATAAAGGTTTTGTTGGACTGTCTGCGCCGTCTACATGTGGTGAGGAGAGTGGAGCTGGTAGGTCTTAGCACGCGGGCGGCAACAAGAAAAGGGAGTTGGAATGGTGGGCACGAAGCATACGAAGCCCTAAAGTCGCTCTTATGAGGGATCAATTGTGCATGTTGGACGCTATTGCCTGGCAGTTGGAGCAAAACCAGAGCTGCTGTCCAAAGCTGTCTAAGGACAACCCGCAAAGAATATCTTGAGATCGACTTGAAGGTGCTGCGAGCACCCAAACGTGTGGTCAGACACTGCCGAAAACTCCGCATACTCCGCATGCTTTGGTGCTGTAGTACGTTATGTATGTTGTAACAGGGCTGACGCTCCGGATGCGAGGCTGTGGAGAAGGTCATAGGCGTGATCATCCAAGGGGAACATGACAGTGACAATTGGGCCCCTCGAAAGCAAGTGCGACAAATCCCGAAGTGTCACGAAGCATCACGAAGCCCTAACCCCAATCCAGCCCCAATCCCGTGAACCGAAACCTAAACGCAGTGGGCTCACATTCAACAAACGGAGAAGTTCCCCGCCTCGCTGCCTCGAAATGCAGGTAAGAATAACTTTGCATCCGATTGAGGGCCACTTATCAGTCAGATATTCAGGTACTGGTAGCTACCAGTCAGGTAAATAAGGCGGCGAAAGGCATTGGATTTGGCAGCTTAACCACTTCTTGGCCGTTCAACCACTACCAGTATGTATAGCCCTCCAAGCTTTGATTGAACTTCACTGGCAGCATCTTCGGGTTCCGGCCGTGCAGGGTTCTGGCCTGCAACATCGATCTGGTTTTGCCTGCCACATGAGAAGCCCTTGCCCATGCAAGAGCATGTGCTTATTTACCTACCTTAACGGTATGGTAATGAGTGCGCAATCTAATGTAATCGTATGTAACCTTGCCATTCTCGTCAGGTCCACTCTTTCAAAGTCCAGTACAAGGCATCGGCCAAAGGCCTGGGCATGATTTGCCCTTGAGTCCTGAGCACAAGGCCACTCACTCATGGAGCCGAATCTAATAACCTTTTTTTGCAGCTTTTAGAAAATTGACATCTAAATCTAAATCTCAAGTTGTGAGGATTGCTTCCGCTTGCAGTTGAGACATGCTAGGCCACGGTCTGGTTGTGGTTTTGCCCCGGCGGGCCGCGGGCACCCCCCCCCCCCCCCCCCCCGCCCCATTTTGCAACTAAAGACAACCCTCAGATGGGAGACTTTATATCCTAGCTGTCAAAACAGGGCGAAATTGCAGCCAGCTTAGTTTGGGGTTTATATTTGGGAGTTGAGGGCTAGGCCCTTATCTTGTCGATTGGCCAAATTAACCAAAGAAAAAGCTAGAAATAACAAGCAAAAACACATAAGAGCTAAGATGCAGCCTCACATGTAGGGATCTTCTGTCGAATCTCGGAGCCTGCGAAGATTCAAATCCTAACTTTGTGTCTTCATTGCCTCAAAAACACCAGGAAAATCCAGGAAAACCATGGACACAAGAAACGAGCAAAAAAACAACGAGAACAGCAAAACCCATAAGACCTAAGAAGCAGCCTCAAGCTCGTACCAATGCCCAACATTTCGTAAAGCATGATGAGATTCGGCGACATTACAACCAGCATTTCACTAATCTTCGTGGTGTTGCATAGGAGTCGCATTCATGTTAGGATCTTATGCATGCCTACTCTTGCAACTTCGCCCAGCGTGGAGACGTCTAGCTGCATTTTGGCAGTTGTGATACGCGCCCCTGGCCCACTCCCCCCCCCACCCCCTCCCCCCCTCCCCACCCCCTCCACCCCCCCTCCCCTCCCCCCCACCCCCCCCCTCCCCCCCACCCCGCCCTCCCCCCACCCCCACCCCCTCCCCCACTGAGAACGCTCCGCGCGCAACAGATACATGGATATCTTCTGGACCCTAAGTGCCAGCTTCATGGTGCATTCTTTAAGCCCTAGAGATAGTTCTTCAGGAAGTTTCGTTAATTACGCCGCACACTCACAAAAATGGTGGGAACTCCGGTTTGAGATAGTTGCTGTCCGGACTCAGACGAATGAATGACTTACTTGATTACCGCCGGACCTCAAATAGTCGCAGCCCAATCGTTCATTGACGTGTCGCTCACATTCCGTTCACGTTCGTTCGATGTCATCGATGCTATCGACGCTATCGACGCTACCGTGTCGCGAAGAGATGTTGGTGCACAGGTTGACCGAAGGAATACACAGACGCATTTTGTTCCGCAGAAAAACCGCAGAAAAGACGTGCGGCTCGGTTTGTTCATTCATTGTGTTGTGTTCTTCTCGTCGCTCCTTGCACTTGATTTAACTACCACGGTAGAGACACCATGATGTAAATGCGGGCGCGGCTACGAACTTACCAACCTGGTGTCTTTGAGGCACTCAGGTCCTCGGAAACTCTTGCGTAAGTCCTTCTTTACGAGCTTCGAAAGTTTAGAGGGCGTACACCCGAGAAGCGATTTGGAGCTTCGCGGGTATTTAGTAGCTTAAGCTTTAGACTTCATCGCTATCACTTGGGGAGACATGAGGCTAAAATTCTTCCTCACATGAGGGCACAGCTCAGCTACCTACAAGGACGTGCAGTGTTGCGTAGTGGACAGCTAGCTAGCTACAACCCTGACCTGCACTTTTGAACCAGGCGTTTGGCAGACCATCCCGGCACGATTTACCGGCCTGGCCCAAAAGACAGAGGAGCATGCGCCTCGACGCAATTGAAATTTGGGGCTGGGCTAAGCCCTGAGAGGCAAAATATGCCAAAATAATGCTGGGAGGTATTTTGGGCGCATCGGAGGTGGTTTGACTGGTTTGGTCTAGAGGTAGTGTCTGGTACAGTGTGACATTAGCATGCTGCTGCATGCTAGGTTGTGCGGCACTGCGCATTGCTAGTTTTTTAATTGGCAAAGCTAAAGCTGAGCCAATGTACAAGCCAAACGATGATGACGGTTTCGTTCGTGTTTTTTTGTGTGTGTGTTATGCAAGGTTGCAATTCCTCCATGTCCTTCGCTAGGGGGTACTTACTGAGGGGAGAGCGGTGTTTCTTCTGTGAATCCTGTAGGATCCTAGTTGCAACATATTGCAACTTATGCCCATACGTCTTTTAGCAATTCGGTCCGGGGTATCCCCGCATGATTTGCTGCGGCGTGTTTCGTTGGGTTATCTTATGTTATGTGATTCGGTGCTGCTGTGTGAGTTGATGTGTTGTAGTTGTGTTGTGAAATGTTGTCTGGTTACAGTACGCTGTGCTGTGTCACAGCTTGGCGCATTTTACCGTGCCGTGCTATAGTGCATAGCACTGGTTCTCCCCACTTATGCTGTGTTTTTTCTTCTCCTACGTGCTGGTAGCTAGGCCGTTCGCTTCAAAACTACATGCTTTGTTTTCTGTATTTGGCAGGCGTTGCAACGCCGCAATGCACCCACTAGTACTACGCTGCCAGTTATTTCTCATTGTCGCCTGTAAGTAACAACTCATGGCAAATACACTAGTACTTCTAGTGTGCCAATAAACATAGCCAGCTGTAGTACGAAACGCATCGTAGCACGATGTGACGGCATATACTTGCAATGTAACGCTAGGTTATGCAGCGCGACGTCAAGCAAGTATTCAATGTAGCTTGACGCATGCTGCCTCACTTTATGCTGCGTTGCATTCTGCCGCAGAGCGCCGTGTAGCAAAGCATACAACTTTTAGTTCTGTTTGCACTCGTGCATGAGTGTAAGCAGATAAGTCAGCTAGAAAGTACGTACATAAGCAAGCAAGTAAGCTTAGGTAAGTAGGTATAGGGAAGCACAGCACGCCTGCACTGATGGATGCTTGTATGTTGCTATGGCAATTACAAATATGTCGGCGCACATGCGACACTGGCTATGCTCAGGTACCAAAAAGCTATGTGCATGTGCATCCTCTTAGAGCTCGGGAGGATGGACCAAGCAGATGGGTGACAGCATCAGCAACGATGTGAAAGTGTCAGGGGCAATGACGACAGTCAGGGTGACTAATCAGGGTGATGTGGTGAGGATGAGGAGGATAACATGATGAAGATGATATTGACGATGACGATGATGACATTGACAATGATGATGGTGATGAAGACGGTGATGATGTTGATGATGAGGAGGAGGAAGAGGAGTAGGAGGGCACCGATATATGCCGATGCAACGACGACACGGTGTGAGTGTGTGTGTGTTCAATGTAGGCGAGGCACATGAACCAAGCATTGCGCAGCCTTTCTGGCGCGACTGCGCTGGCAACAGGTCAGAGCCTATTTCTCCGAGCCTGTGGAAGCTCATGCCATCCGCCGCCCAGTCAAATCTTCAAAGGCTGCAGCATCGCACTTCAGGGCTTTTAGGCGATGAGGGCTAAGGGTGTAGGATGTGTGAGTTTAGAAGATGGACCAACGAAGGAAGGGCACATAGCATGTCGTCTGCTACAAGATTTGTTCCTGCAATCTGTGCAGCCTAGTCTCTCTGTCTGAACATACAAAGCTTCTGAACATCCAAAACGCTTGTGCCCCGCTGAGGCCTCACATCCTTCAGCGTGCACAACGAGCTCTGCCTTCGGGCAGCCGTCATGGTCTGTCAGGGGAAGCTGGACTGAGGGCCCAAGTTGCAAAAACAAGTTTTGGGTTTTGTGGCTTGGGGCGTAGTTTGACGAAATGTTCAGCCAGTGCCAAACCACCGCGTCCTGCTATTCCATCACCCAACTTCTGTGCAGGCTTTTACAACAGAAATGGCTTTGACAGGCAGAACTTGACCCAAGTTGCAGGAGAATGAGGTCACGCTCCTCCAGGCCAAGACGTGCCCGACCAACTACAACAGCCAATCTTGGAGCGAATCCGATCCTGCCAGCAGGCCTTTGGGATGTAAGGTTCGGGGCGAGGAGTTGGAGGTCTCAGGCCTCAGGGGTTAAGTAAGTGCTTGTGGACTTTGGAGCCTTGGAGGTGTTTTGTGCAGCCTGGAGAGCCGCAGATTCCATGTGTTGTACAATGTTGTACAATGTTGTACACAACTTTCATATTGATTGACCTGATGAAACACTTTAATCATGAGGCTGACTGCGACCTACGATGCTACTTGTGTTCTCGCGCTTGAGGCATCTCCGGATCGGCGGCACGAAGGAGTGTTTGGCGCTGGAACAGCTGGAGGAAGCCCACCAGTTGGAGACACCTCAATGCTAGGGTCTATGCAGAAGTGTGTAGAGTTTTGTCTGTTAGTGTTTTTGGGAATCGTGAAGGACTCTCGACTGCAGGTGTGTGTGTGTGTGTGTGCGCGCGTCTGTGTGTGAAACTTCCTTGTTCCTAAGAGGGTAGCCGTTTGATTGATGCAGTGATCCTATCGCCCTTGCAGAGGGGCTGTCTGCCTAAGCCCAAAAGTTGGAGTCGTTGGAAGAGCGACGTTGGCATCGTGAGGCACGGCCTCATGTGTGTGTATGGCGTTCTGTCAAATGGCATACTGCTTGAGACCTGATTTTCAGAATGTTGCCCGAACTTTACAGTGACCTGCCGTGTTGGCTTGTTCGAAGTTGATGCGAAAGCCTTCCGCAGTTGGAGACCATTTGTATTCTTGGCGTGGCTGTGGCGTTTTGGAAGACCATGCTAATTCTTAGTCTTAGCCCCTGCCCTCCTGCACCCCTCTCGTATGTATGGCATCTTACACTGCAAAAGCAAGGAACAAAACGCAGCACTGTGCCGATGCCTTCTGAGCTCACTATGTCTGTGTGTGGGCTAACACGGGTTTGTTAGATATGTTAGTTTGTTCCCACCATGCTTGGGGGGGTTGCCCCAAGCTCTTATCACCTATGAGATCTGCGCGAATAGGGGCACTTATCAGATGTCTTAAATCCTCTTGCGTTTTCAAGCTCCCATCCAGAGGAAATGCTTCAGAACACTTGTTTTCCAAACCCATCAGACGAGCATTGTGTCTGTGAAGAGGGAGGGGGGCGGGGGTTGCTTTTAAGCTGCAATATGAATCTTTTCCAACTCTATCATCCGACATTTGTTTGTTTGCGGCCTCAGTCGCGAAAGCTTGCTTTGAAGAACATTGCGTCTTCAAGAGGAACACATTGTATACATACGTACATACATGCATAAATATATTGGCCCTTGTTAAACCTGTCATACCCCCACGTCATGATTTCAAGGAATCATTTCAGTACACATGTGACAAATTTAAATCTTCAAGCCCGTCAGACGAGCAATGTGTTTGCGGTTGAGGTGGGGAGGGATTGCCCCGCCCCTGCTTTCTGCGCCATGCGACGCTTGAAAGATCACCACGACCTCAAGAAAATTGCTTTAAAGTTGCCCTGACTGTCTATAATCACAAGTTTCGAAAATTTATTCTGCGAACCGAATTTGTTGGAGTGACCCACGATTATCACAAGCCGTTTTTTCCGGACGGTTGTTTTCTTTAATGGTTGTGTTTAGGGTTAAGGGCTTCTGTAGGGCTCCAGGAATCTTGAAGAGCCAGAGCCCGGAGAATCCTGCATGTAAAGCCTTATGGAATTTCATTACGAAACGAGGCCCCAAACACATTTTGTGATGGGTAGCCCACGGGCCGGCCGGACTGTTTTTTAGTAAGTTTGTCTAGTCACCCTCTATAATACACGGTTTTCTTCCGGATGCTTGTTTTTTGTTGAGGGTTTGTGTTTATTACGCAGTAGGGCTTGAGGCCCTGAGGCCCTTGGGCTCCAGGAATCTTCAAGGCTGGAAAGCTTCAGGCCTTAAGGTCCTAAAGGTTTGAGGCCCTGAGGGCGGTTCCCCCGCCCCCCACTCCCCAAGCGTATGTAGAGGGTCCAAATTTGTTGGGGGGGGGGGGGGGGGCTACTTATTAAAAGCAGTGCAACATTAACCGTCACGTTACAAAAGAAGTTAAGCGCATTATGATATAAGAATATGATATGTATGCAACAAAATGAAATTATTGACCAAACGCAACCTGTACAACTTACGCGGTGCTTTCGGAAACAACTGTATATATATATATACATACATACATGAACACATACTTGTAACATGTCAAACATATGCTTCATAAACGTATGGCATATGACATATGACGTATGACATACAGGTTCTCACACACACATGTATGTATGTAGCATTTCGTATACAACATGCAACATTTCTCAATGGTCACAAAACATGTAACATATGGCATATCACATCGAACATAGATCATAGAGCATAGAACTTCTGTCATAGGACATAGAGCATGGTTTATTTTAGCAATGGTCACAAGACATGTAACCTATGGGCCATAGACAATCTGTTCTAGAACATAGAACATGGGTTTTTTTTTTTACTTAGAGTGTAGAACACAACACAGGCAACAAGGAACACATCGCATACAACATATATCTGTTCTTTGTCTGAATATGTGCTTTTTGCTAGGTAAAAGAATACTATCTTCCGTCGTAAAGGGCTACCTTATTCAAGCCAATATTTTTTTTTTTTTTTTTGTGTGTGTGTGTGTTTTTTCTTCTTTTGCTTGTGAACTGTCGGTCGTAAGTAACATATTGAAGAATGGTCGGCCTTCTTTTCGTCTGGCTTGAGGAGAACTGTTTGATGGACCCTTAGCTCTAACCTCCTATGATCAAAGTGTCGTGAGTCATTTTGTATACAACTTTACATCTAAACCCATGAAAAGACATAATCTAGTTGAAATGTTTTAATGAACAAAACTCGCAAATTCACAACAATTCAAACACATGTTCAATTAATTTAGTTGTTCTACCTAGTATCTTGAATATAATTGTACAGCTAAAAAGCTATTTCAACGTCTATAGGCAATAGTATTCGTATGTGTAGTACAGTGAATTCAAGGGTTACAACTCTGATTATAACTAAATGCAACTCAAGAAATATGATGTTTTGCTTCTGACTCGCAGAGAAATGTGTCCGATATGTGATGAGAATGCTGAACGACAGAAGGTAGTGATAGAAATGTCTGAATGTCCTGGGCCGTGGTTGGAGAAAGTGAAGGCTGAGATGGCGGCATCTGAGGTCGCCATTCAGCTTGATGCTCCGGCATGACATGGCTTGAAAGTTTCACGCCTGCTAATCTGAGTGGGTGTTTGGCTGCCTCATGCAGTGGGACCTTTGGGATGCAGCGGCAGAGAGAGAGATGATGAATGTACTGCTTGTAGATATTGAAGATATGCCTGATACAATTGATCTAACTGGTGCATTTAGTATATTGAATGTATCTAAGATAGACCATTTAGTTCATGCAAAGAATGCAGCCGCCAAGGTATTGATTGTATTACATTCAGTATCTTCAGTGTAGACACTAAAACCTGTATTCCTTTTATCTTGATGCTTTTATCCAAATGTCACGTTTGGGGTCTAAAGCGACTGTTTAGTTCGGGTTTCAGGCTTTCGTGTTTGATTAGGTTTTAGGTAGGGGGAAGGAGGGTGTAGGGTTTCAGGGTTTAGGATTGGCTTGTTTTGGGAGCCCTGAACCCACCCCCTATTTCGGAATGGGTTTCAAAAGGCGGGGTCGGTTTCGGCAGGATGTTCCGGAAAGTGTTTCTTCACAATTAGGGGGGTATTGAATAAAAGGGGCAAGGGATTAATGTGTGTAGGTAAGTATACAACCGATGTAATTGGTATGGCTGATGCTATCAATTAGTAGATGTAATATATCTGAGATAGATAATCTACTTGATGCACAGTATGATAATCGGTAACGTAGAATATCATATTCAGTATATTCAGTATAGACACTATAATCAGTATTCATATCATCCTTACGACCCTATTCATATAACCAATTCAATGAATCTAATTCAGACCATGGATCTACTACTTATTGATTAGAACTAGTACAGCCCAACAACTATGTATGATACAATTGATGAAACTGATACAACCATACTTAATAATCATCTAACCAATGTGATCACTCGCCCATTGTCATTCATGCAGGGCATGATGCTCATTGTATCATGTTCATAAAGCAGCCACTGCAATCTGCATTAATTTTAAATGTGGTACCAGTTCTATTGCTTATGCTACTTATTTTAACGAGGGCAGGCACGCTGTATATAGTCACTTGAGTGATTATTTCTTTGTTTTGTCTATAGGCTCTGCGCTGCTTATAGGTGGGGGGGGGGACTCCCAAGACAAGATAAATCGCGACTGGAAAAAACCCCATTCTCAGAGGTTAGATTATCATGGGCATGACACCCATTGTATTACGCGCATAATTTCCAGGAAACCACCAGTTCAGCATTTTTATTCTTGTCAAGTTCTGCGCTGCGCTGGTTATTGGGGGCACGGGGGGGGGAACAATATATTCGAGAAAACATCTCCGAAATAGCGCATGTTTTACATTTTGCTTACCATCACGGATCGGTGTGATTGCTTGGGGATACACTTAAGATGTTGTGGAAAGCATAGCATAGCTAGCACATATGGTCAGGTTTTGATTGTTGGGGAATAGAATATGCGTGAGACTGGTATTGGCACCACAAATGTGTTAATAACACTGCTAGGGGTGTAATCTCAGTACATAGACACGACTGAATTCAATTCCGGTTTTGGAAAACAAGTGCTCAGCTTACGTCGCTGTGCAAGTCTTAAAGTCGAAAAATATAGACTCTGGAGTGTGGAGGCTCAGACTCCAGATTCATTGAGTCTCTGGGAGCCCCTCAACCCCACATCCACAACCAACACCAGGCCGAAAGTGTTGATCAGGGTAGGTTGGGGGGGGGGGGGGGGGGGCGGGAGCAGACAATATGTACATACATACATATGTACAGTCTATCTGTGTCTACATAAATTTGTTCATAGGACATACAAAATGCAACATCTAACTGTAATAATATACAGTAGTGCTAACGACGCTTTTCGCCCGTTCTAGGCCTGAAGCAACTCCATATGATTTAAGACATGAAAACAGTGTAGCTTGTACGGGACTTAGACAGTTCAGCTTGTACGGGACACAGTCTGCTACGCATGAGGAATCTGTTAGGTCATAGCTAGGCCTTCCAAACGTTGTGTCGCCACATGGGGTTTCAGAAGCTTTTGCGAGAATTCAATGACACAGAAGCTCCACCGAAGCGCATTGAAGAGCAGATGATGGATCAGGCGCAGAATGATCTTGAACATTTTTTGGTGATGCTCGCAGAATCAGGATGCAATGCCACAAAACCCGACCACCCGTTTCACTGCTTTGGCCGTCTTGAGCCTGATGCTGACCACGCACGCATTGAACCGCACGTCATCTGCCCTTCACTAACAGCGTGACACCGGCGTCGTACCGACTTTTCGCAGGCCTTCGCATGTCGCACGTCATTGGTTGAACATCATCCTCGCTAAAAGTTCAACGTTTGACCAACAAGCCAGTTGACTTTCCTCGCCTTTAATCCACTTCGCCTAGTCATGACGTACTGAAGAGATGGGGGACGCTCCATCGTGCACCTGTAACATCCTGCAACTACCAAAAAAATCGAAGCGGCTGATTGTTTATGATGGGTTTACTAGGCGTCCTTGTTCCGTAGCTGCAGGACTATGCAGTGAGTCGGTTCCTCTATCTGTATTTGAACTCGGGCTGTAACGGTGGGAGCCGCATGTACTTGTGAGTCCTCGACCATGTTCGGACAGAAATTATTGATTTGACCTTTCCGTCCGTCCGCCCGCATGTGTGATGTGTGATGTGTGATGTGTGATGTGTGATGTGTGATGTGTGATGTGTGATGTGTGATGTGTGATGTGTGATGTGTGATGTGTGATGTGTGGGTGTGGGTGTGTATGTGTGCCCCCTCTATATGTTTCGTTCTTTCTTGTAATTCAAAGAGTTGTTGCAGTGCGGCTTGCTGGTCGTTTGCAGGAATTTGGTTTCCTGTTTGTGCCTTTTGTAGGGTAAGAAGCCGCCGCGACCTCATCCAACTTCAACAAAGCCGCGTCTCCAGAAGCACATGGCCCTCGTGTACAAGCCTTGCGTGGCTGACGACGTTCACCAAATGATTCCGGCGGCGGACATCGGTTTCTTGCCTGATTAGCCACTTTGCCTTCGTCGTCTACACATGACATTGGGACAGATGTTCCTTCATGTAGTCCTTATGGCAAAGAAGGCACCCCCCCCCCCCACAAGTTGTAAGGTAGATCGGGATTGCTGTGGATTTTCGGCGTAGCGGCCAAACATGGCTGAACCCGAAAACCGCAAACCCCTTCTTGAAGCAATGCTGAGAGCTCGTGCCTTCAGAGGTTATCTATTCACCTTGCTCCATCGCAACAGCTGGCTGACGGACAATGCGTTGCAGCCCGGGGTCAAGGCCCCGCCCCGCTGTGCGAGTTCCAAGCTCTCATTGCGGGGTGTCTGATAGCTTGTGATTCCCTTCTTCGGGAATGAAGCAATCTGCTTACAGAGGCTGTGTATTGGCTGTGTATGCTTTCAGCTTTTTGTTTAGACTCTTCGAGCTTGGGTCCCTTGCCGCCCTTGTGCAGGCCGAGTTCTTTTACCTTTTGGACAAGGCCCACCGCTCCCACAACCACTCCTGGCGGCCATTCCCGAACTTTGTTTCAGAGCTGTTGCCCTTCGATTGAGGAAGACTGCTCCATTCCCAACCTTCTGTGGCGCACACCCGACAAGGCCGGTGTGTGGCCACTTGATTAGTTCTTGGGTGAAGGAGGGACATCTTGATGTGCACATGGCTGCCCTAGCTTGCCTACCACGTCCTCAATCGGACGCTCGAACCCCATCGAACCAAAACCCCTGGATCTTCATCTTCGATACTTGCCCTGCAGGTGGAAGTCAAACCGAAGCGGCTTGGCTGTTGGGAACGTTCTCGAGCTGGGAGAGTCTGATCTAGGGGCTGGTGCTTCATGGGTCATCCCCAGCAAACCTTGCTCAGTGCCTGGATGATAAGCAGTCATCTTGGAAGCATGTCTTTTGTAGATTTTTGTAGCAGGTGGCATGGCAGGCTCTTTGTTTGCCCAAGATTTCTTATTTTCCTATTTGTTGGCCGTCCAAACCTACTTTTGAGGTGTAGGGTTTTGCTAGGGGGCGGGGGGGTGGGGGGGGGGGGGGGGGGGGGGGGGGGGGCGCTTAAAACAAGCTCGGACCTGGTGTTTGTATGGGTTTCCTGGGAGTCGCTCTGACCTGCTGTTTGTATGAGTTTTCCTTGGGTGTCCCACCCAATGCCCGAAGTGTTGACTTGGTTGTTGTGTGGGTTTTGCCAAGGTGTCCCATGTAAAAACCAAGCTCAGACCTGGTGTATATAGGTTTTCCTAGGGTGTCTGCTGTTGGTATGTGTTTTGCTAGGGGGCCCGTCTACAGCCTAAAACATTTTTAAACTGCATGCCCTATGAAAAGATGATAGAGTGGTTGGACGGAGTAAGCTAGCGAGCGCACCCGCTGCTTCCTTTCATGGACTCTCGGCGAAGTGCTGCTTTGGAGTGCCACATAACAGTTGAGTCCAGAAGCAAGTCAGCTCTGAAAAGCTAAGTGTGAACTTTCCGGAAAGCAACGCCTGGGATGGCCTGGAACAGAACGACAAGTTTGCGGCGAGGACAGAGCTCATCTTTCAACGGTCTAGAGTCTGGGTATGGGCATCAGAATTTTTCCGCATACAGAACGTTGAATGAGCTAAAGTCTTGTGCAGGATGACTGGTGTGCTCATGATCAATGAGCCAGGCCGCGGCCACTGTAGTTGGTGTGATTGAACGGACATGGGGATCCTTGAGGACTGGCTACGCTTCTTTTTGCCCCGAGTAGTTAGTTATTGTTGCATGTTTATCTTCGACGATCCCCAAGGCACCTTGGCTCATTCCGAGGCACATACACCTTCTACTTGTCCTGCGATGATAGCGCTAGCCTCTTCTTGAACCACGAGGAGGCCAGTTTGAGCTTGCAAGGCATCACGTGAATACAAGAAAACATCAAGCAGCCTCGAAGAAAATCACGACTGCTTGAAAACTCGTGCGTGGCATGAGCATGATCCACGTGCGGATGAGAGTTTGTTGCCCTCGTTGTTCCCTGGAAGCTCTGAGCCTCCAACAGTTTATAGCAAGTTAGGATTGACGGGTTGACGCCTTGCTGAATTGTTTCAAGCCACGCAGATCATCACAGTCTCCGGCTGTGGCTCCACGCGGGAAAAGTCCACCAACAAGGCCAATGGGCACGGGGAGAGTTTCAGCTTGAATGCTGGGGACAAGAGTTTGGGGTTTCAAAACGCAGCGGGCTTTCGCAAAAATACCCCATTTGGCCTTGGGAGCTCGAAGCTGATGGTGACCTGAACGAGCTGTCTGTCGCGCGAGAATGTGAAAGTCGAAGCTCATGATCGGGTTCTCTCAATGCACGGGGCCATGGAGACTCCAAGTTAAAGGTGCCCTGGTTGAACAACAAGCATGCGCCTGTTTCCGACGAGGCTTTGACGATGGGCAGCTGGCCTTTTGAAGAACCTCGGACCTGCAAGCAAGAGCGTAAACGTATGCCCCTCATGCCCAACAACAAGAATTACGACCCGGAGCATACAAGCATGGGCTTCCAAAGGAAAATTCGCCTAGACCTCAAGCAAGCATTGATATTCGACTGCAAGCTGAACCAGGAAGTGGATATCTGGAATTCAACAAGAGAGGTTCTGGGGATTTGCAGTTTAGAGCTTCTTTGGAGATCTTATGAGTTCGTACGAGGTTCCTCCTCAATCGGCAATCGTGCTTCCAGCGTAGTCTTTTGCCGGCAGTGGCTCGCGTGCTGGATGCGACTGTAGGCCGTTCAGTTGCCGCGTGAAAAGTATCAGCTTGGGGTGTCCTGAAGCGCGTAATGGTGTGTTCTTGACATTTCTTGACCAGCACGTGCCTTTTATGCAGGTGCATTATTTCGACAGCGCTGACAAGGCAGGGGGCTGGAATTGTCAAAGAACCTTTGTCACGCTCTCATACTCAGCGGACTACATCATAACAATCCATGGTGTACCTTCTTCAGCAAAACTTATTTGCTGTAGTGACACTGTAGGGCATTTGGGAGAAGTCAATCTTGAACACTCGGGTGGCTGCATTGGGCAAGGCCTCACTGAAGCTGCTGTGGAAGGGACCAGACTCACAGGACAAGAAGCCGGGCTTTGTTCAAGACGGCGCTTTTGCAGACTGTAGAGTTGCACCTCGTGGTAATCGATGGCAGGCAGCAACGGGCTCTGGTAACATCTGTGTTTTTGAGCCCAGGAAAGTTGTGGTGCCTCCGCACTTCGGCAGCATATGGAAAGACAACTGTCGTGGAGATTCGTAGGGTCAAATTGAAAGAGACGCAGAATAGAGCCGTTAAGCAACCATAATTAGTTGTTTCTCAGCCGGCAAAACTCCAAAGTGTAGGATGTGTAGCACCCGTTGGACAGAGGGCTGAAAACTTGGAATATGGGGTCCAGGGTGCGGGCACGAGAGAGGTGGAGAGGAGGGGACACAGGGTCACCTGGCGCGTATGCGATCGATCGTTGATGAGCTCCGGTTCAAAAGAGCAGGGTGGAGGGGCCGAGATCAATCTTGCATCCCTATAAAACTGAATACCAAGTTAAACCGTTTGTGCGCGAAGTTGTCCCGGTAGCTGACAAGTACGCCCTTGGCAAAAGCCCTTCAGGGATCACTAAACATTAAGTAGTTCCCATCAAGAAATTACTAGCAGCTTTAAGTTTTGACACATACCTGTTGAAGGTTTAGGCTGAAACCTAGTCCAAGATCTTACTGGTTCCCTCGCCGCTAAAGCATTTCGCAAAAGCCCAGACCCTGTTCCCAATGATATTTCGCCAAAGCCCATAATATTGCCTCAAGGAAGACACAGTCCTGACGCTGGGTTTTGGAGAGGGGGGGGGGGGGTACCATGTATATGAATCTGTTGTCACCATGAAGATGCATGGCTCGGTATGCTCGGGGGCCTGATGGACGCCCCTATGTATACAGTCACTTCACCAAGTCGGAGCATGTCCCACCCAATCCTGACGTAAGTATTCTAGTCTATACAAATCTCGCGCGCGCGCCTCGTTTGGGTACGCGGAAGTTGCTGACCACCCTCGCCACACTAGAAATTGAACCCGACTCCAGCATCTCAAGCCTCCAATCAGGGTCGCCTTCGCCCACATGGCAGCCCCTCGGTCCGATGGGTTAGCCTTCGAAAGATTAGCTAGGATCTACCAGTGATTTACCCGACCACAAGCCATGCCCAGTCTGAGCCTTTGCATGTGCCCCGCTCTTCGTGGATTCACAGTTTTGGCTTGAGTTCCGATTCAGAGTCGCTGTCCAGGGCCCAGCTTCAGTTCTCTAAGTTGAGAGGGGTTTTGGGAGGCGACTGCACGAGCCCTCTGAACAAATCAAAAGCAGACACAAAAGCCGAAATTCGTGAACCATCTATGAGTGCAAGAAGCCGAAGGAAGCAGTGCATTCGCCTAAAGCATGCATGAATGAATGTTTGCGATTACACTTCTCATGAACAGCAAATAGTATAGGAAACATATATATACCCCTTGACATAGGAACATGTGAACATATTCGAAGTAATGAGTAACTAATGATTGTTTCGGATTGTTGCGCGTTTTTCGGAAGCATGCCTCCTTTTGTCATTGGATGTTAACTTAAGGAGGCTGTCTTCGCTAGGTGCATTGGAGTGTCAGCGTCGAGTTGGGTCTGAAATGTAGATTTTGGACTTTGGAGCCAGAGCAAAGAACCCAAAAGACATTGTAGGGGAAGGCCGGCTTCTGAGGACAAAACTATGTGGATGCCCACCTCGGCCGTAGCCCGGGGCTGCATTGGCAACACGGCGCTAGGAGCCTTGTCACCTGACCGCGATCCAGTTTGGGCTTATGCACGTGGTAGAGACGTAGGCATGCAGGGTCTGCCGGGTCTGCATCGTTGTTTGTTCAGTAGAATACCCTTCTTCAAGGGGGGCGAGATGCGGCCCAGGCAGCCGGACATCTTCCTTGTGCATGAGTTGGAGAAAGGCATCAAGCTGGAGCCTTGCATAATTCCTTGGGGCGAGTTTTTGAAGTAACCAACAGGACCAAGACTTGTTTGGGGCAGGGGGGAGGGGCAGATGGCAGGGGCACCCGCCGAAACAGACGATCCTAGCAGAACGTCACTGCGGGAAGATACATGGGGAAGAGGGAGCTGGTAGATGGAACTAGTCAAAGCAGCGCTATGGATCAACCTGCAGGGAGGAAGGGCTGGCCCGATAGGTACCAGGAGCAGACAGATTCCAACTAGTCAGAGCACATACGCAAAGCCGGGAATGCGTGGTAGGATTCCAGCCAGGGATGCAAGAGCTGCAAAGATGGCAGCAATGCAACGCACGTGCAATGCCAGGAAGCGGTGGCAGCCCGGCAGGCCTTAAAGCCTTAGGAGAAAAGCCGAAGCGCAATGCACACGCATTACCGAGAGGCCACAGCTGCAACGCAATAGTGAAAGCATGTGAAAGCACAACGACACAGGCACTGTATGGCACTGTCGCTCGAGACGTCGCAAGGATCCGCTAGGGGGAGCCAGGCCAAAGAGTTGCTCCTGATCCTCGGGAAGCACATGCAATGTGCAACCCTTCGCGCCCCTGCAAGAACACCCCCAAGCAAGCTAGTCCTGGGCTTCTCGTAAGGACGTCCCACGTCCGGTTTTGGCGAGGATGTTGGAAGTGCCTCAAAGGGTCAGTCAAGAATCAAATCATGATCGAGGTTAGCCCTCACCCAGTACTGTAGTTGTGCCGCAGCTGCCATGGAGGCAAGGTAAGACCAGACCACAGCAACGGCGGGAGAAGGGGGTCAAGAGTAGCGGCGTTGTTATGGCACCGCATGTAAAAATTTCGAAGTACAAGATGTCAGGATTGCCGCTTTGTCCCTTTGCTCTCCAAGGACCTGTGCTGGCAATCCCTGCCCCGTTCAATCTTGATCTGCCTTAAGCCAACTCAGCCACCGTAGCTGTGCTCTCACTTGATCTGATCTGAATTGCCCCAGCCCCGCAGAATAACCTCGGTGACATGTTCCATCTTTGCTAGTGACTCCGGCACTCGGTTGCAGGAGCTGCCAGTGGAGATCATTACAAACCGCACAATTTCCGAGGCGAAGCGACTTCGGCCAGGAAGCAAGACTTCGAAATAAGCCCCAAACCGCCTGCCAAACTCAGGTGGACCTCTGATCAGAAGGCGCCTACACAAGTAAGTAAGTAAGTAAGAAGGGAAGTAAGGACTTGAAAGAAGTGGTTTGAGATGTCAGGATGTTCGTCCGTTGCATAATATGTTTTCCAGAATTCTGCAAGGCGTAGATTCTTGGATGCAACAGCTGTCAGGACAGTCTGCTTGAGGCATTTCGTTACTTGTTCTTTGGCCTCCACTTTGTGAGGCGGTGCAGATGTTCCATGGCATGGAGAACGGGGGTGACAGCCATTGAACTTCAATGAAGCCTTGACAAGCCGTTTTTCTCGCAGGCGGTGCAGTGGCCTGCATGGTGGGAGGACTTGGAGAGCTGGGCAGCTTTGCTTCAAGCATAGGACATCTACACGGAGGGGTCATTGAAGTTGATTTCATTATGTGCTTGGCCTCGCAAGTCCTACCCTAGCGGTCCTGGTTGCTGGCTTGGCTTCTGGGATTCGGGACTCTCCTTTCTGGAGGCCCTAGGATGCATGTCCGAAAGTGCTATTTCGGGGTTCTCTTGCACGGTGCTGCTTGAACCAACCGTGACACAGACACTTCCCTTTAATTTGTCTTGTCTTGGGCGCCAATTGGCCTGTTTCCCACAGCGAGTGCCTTCGGACGATGGCGGCAGAGCAGCCACTGCGCACTCCATTCTTTCCAAGGAGATGCGCTGCGCACCGGGCAAGGTACTTCAGACGATCGACTTCCTCAATGTAGCTCTGCTATGCAATTTCCAGAGCAAATACGAAACGTGCCTTCATTGAAGACAACAGTTTTCAAAAGGTTGGGTTGTTCGAATTCCGTTGTCACTTTGTATGCCACCGATTACTACTATACTGCCTCTATATATTCCCAACAAAAGGACGTTGGGTTCTTTTATTTCTGCTGGCACTTGAGAGCTTGGGGCGTTTAAATTGCATATGTTGCCCTGTTGCTGGAAGGAACGCTCATGCAGACCTGAAGAACTGAAATCCCTCAGTCGAGAATGTTCCTGGCATGATGCGCTGCATATGGCTGAAGACCCTGAACAGGGCCAACCTGCTCTACAGTTCTGTCAACCCCTGCTGAATTCGCCTGTCTTGCCAGAACGCTTAAGTGTGGCTTCGTGCCGTGCCCGTGTACTCTATAGAGGTGGAGGGCCGGCTGCACTTGAAGTACACCTGCGCTACTGCCTCCGGACTTGGCTCTTTGTCCAGCATTGCAGGGATCTTCGATGGTTCTGCCGGGCGCAGGGGCTGCGCGGTCCTGATCCTTTGGCAACCTTTGGCCCGAGGGTACCGCCGATCTGCCTACCGATGGGCGTTGTTTGTTGGGGGTCAAGCGCTCTCATAGTTACTGACGTCCAAACTGGAGCTTGCAAGTTGCAGAACGCTCCCAGGCCCCTAACAGTGCTGTGCTCAGCGATAAGGTCAGTGCTATCCAGTCTGGTCTGACCAACAAGATGTGCGAGAATTTTCGGAGACAGAGTCCCGGCCGACAAGCTGTAGTGACAGGCTGAGATGGCTAGTGACATTCGGCTGGCTGGCCATCATTTCCCTGAAAGGCCAAATCGACGAGAGTGCTGAGTCGTTTGCGCTTTGCGTGTCCTCAACATGACCTGCTGAATGCCGT